CGGCAACCTCGTGATGGTCACGGGCGGCCACAACAACGGCCGCGTGGGGACCATCGTGTCCAAGGAGAAGCACCGCGGCGGCCACGACATTGTGCACGTCGAGGACAGCGCCGGCAACAAGTTCGCCACGCGCGTGTCCAACGTGTTTGTCATCGGCAAGGGCAACAAGCCCCTGGTGTCGCTGCCCAAGGCGCGCGGCGTGCGGCTCACCATCATCCAGGAGCAGGCCAAGCGCTTTGCCGCCTAGAGGGGGCAGCCCCGCTGGCGCTGGAGCGCAGAGGCGGCGGCGGCGGCGGTGGGGGCCTCGGTGCGGCCGTCCCGTGGGGTCGCTTCGTGGCTTGTTATCCGCTATGGTGATGGGTGGGTTGTGTCCTGAGTAACATCTGGACATGCTCTTGAGGTTGTTTGCGGGACGCGGGACGCGTGGCGGGAAAGAGGTGGAGGCCCGGCATGTCTGCAGCGATCCGTACCTGCTTGAGGCGGTGGCTTTTGTTGCGGCAGCAGCAGCAGCATGAGGCAGCAGCAGCCGCAACAGCGGCAGCAGCAACGGCGGCAGCAGCAGCAGCGGCAGCAGCAACAGCGGCAGCAGCAGCAGCGGCAGCAACAGGCCGTGATCGGGGCGGCGCGGCCACAAGCAGGCAGACATCAGCTGCGTTGAATACTGCGAATGTGTGAAGGCCAGCTTAGCAAACAACAGGTGCCAGCACTGGTTTACGCCAGTACAGCACCCTCACCGCCCTACACAATCCAGCCCCAGCGACCCCGCGACGCCCCTGCCTGCTGGCCGAATGCCAAGTGCAGCCACAGTATCGCACAGTATTTTACTTCCCCTGCGGATGCAAAATCAAATTAGACAACTGGAATCCAATGCACTGGGGCCTGAAGCATCACCCAGGCGTCCCGATTAGCACGCGGCAGGGGGTGTTCGGGCGCCCACTCATGACCAGCCATCCACGCGGCCTCGCCAAAGGCGCGGCCGGCAGCAGGCGCCAGAGCGTCGAGGGCGGGACGGCGGAGCGTGGTGTCAATTCAGGCGGGCCGAGGCTCCGCGCCGCTTGCAAAGGGCTGCGCCGTGCGGGCCAGGGGCTTCCGTCGTGTCGTTTCAACGCCCAAATGCGGCCGGCGACTCAGGGACTGAGGGCCCCCGCCGAGGGCCGCAGACTGGAATCGGGCTCGACCAGGTGTGAGGGATCAGGAATCAGGTCGTATGGCAGGCTGCAGCGGCTCTGAAAAGCAGACCGTTTGAATATGCACAGCGCGCGGCTCGAGGGTCAGCCCGTGTTGTGCACGGGGTGCGGTGACGTTCCTGTTTGGGATGTTGGCCCGGCACGCGGCGAATGGCCGCCGCTCTGCAAACCAAAAGCGGCGCTGCGCGTGCCGCAGCGCCGCGGGCGGATGGGGCCGCGCGCCGCTCCTGTGCGCCGCCTGCCGCGGCGCGCCGCTTCCGCGCCCGGCTCCGCTCGGCGCTGCGGCGCGTCGCGCAAAGCCTGGGGCGGTGCGGCGGCGGCCCGATGGCCGCCGCAGCACCGCCAAATGGCAGCCGCCAGCGGGGCGGGGCCTGGGGGCTCGCGCAGGCGTGCGTGTGCGGGGTGGTCGTCTCCAACGGAAGGGCCAGGCAGGGGTGAGAGCGCTTCGAGCGGGGCGACCAAATGCAGCCGCACTATACACAGAAGCAAGCATGAACTTGCGCCACGGGGGAGGGGGGGGGGGGGTCGGCGCGGTTTGGGAACCTGGGTTGCCTTTGGCCGCCAGCAAGGGACAACAAGAAGGGCAGGGGGGCGCACGCTGCGGTGCGCCGGCGGCGCGCCGCGGCGCTCGCGGCGTGCAGGACGCCGTGCAGGACGGCGGCGCACGCGCGCGCCATCACATCGTGCGTCCGGGCGCAAAGACCCCACAATCCCCGAGGCGCACGCGCACCAAAGAGGAGGGGGCAGCAGGGCAGGGGCGCGCAGGGGGCGGAGGCGGGGGCCGCGCGGGCGCACGAGTCGTAGCCTTCTCAAGATGCCCCCTCTGCTTGAGGCCCCGCCCACAGGCGGCGGCGGCGGCGGCAGGGGCTCCTTTCTAGCCAGAGGCCAGTGTGCCGCGGCCCCTTGCGTGCCTGGCTTTGTTTCGGCGAGCTGGCGCGACCCGTCGGCCGCCGCGAAGGGCGCGGCGCGCATCTTCACGCCGCGAATTCACGCCTCGTCCTTCTTCCGGTCGGCGAACCTCACGACGAGGCCGCCGCAGCCGGGCTGCTTCACCAGCGGCGCCGCGTCAGATCCGTCCATCGCCTTGATCGCGGCGGCTGCGCCCTCGACAGTTTCAAACTCGATGAAGCCCTGCTCCCTGCTGCGGCGCGACTTCTTGGATATGAGAAGCTGCGGGGCAGGTGCAGCAGGGGCGCCGGC